ATTGAACAACTTCCCCTGGTAGTTGTGTTGAGTCAACCTTTCTGGTCTTGTAATAAATCTATACTCAGTTTCCCGCCTTACATTAAATGAATTCTACTCGTTAGAATTGATTTCAGATAACGTCGCCCTGAATCAACCGATCTGGGACACTCTTATTGTTCTGTTTAAAATACAGAATTCCAGTAAGATATTGTGTAACGGTGGCTAGTTAAAAGATGCATAAGGTTTTTGTGTTTAATTGGCTGTGGTAGAACATGTAGATATGTCTGATCATTTATCCATTCTGTTGATTATTTTTATCTAAGACATGGGTAAATATGTGATCCTAAATATAGAACATCTTATCGATGTTTGTATATTTAGTTGTAGAAAATAGGCATCCAAATATTCCATGCACTACTTCTCTTATACACTTACAGTCGTATAAGTTGGGTTTATCAATATATAAGTAAATGAACCATTTATATAAATAGCTGTTCTATTCTCTCTATGGGTAGCTAATCCATTGAGAGAACTATTAATATTAAGTTTCTCTTTCTTATATTTCTTGATTTGATCGGAGAAGCTTCTCTTCCCGATCGGTGATATCGTAACTCAGTGGTATAGAATTCTATATCCAACTGTCATTCGTATATCGATTTTAAGCCAATCATGCAATCTTTTTATATAGAAATATGTACTCATAGTAGGAGTCGTTGTGTAGCCGTATACAGGTGTATGCTGTTACTCAATATTAAAGGATGTTTTTATTCCATGTTTTTATTTTATTCGATTTATTTGTTTATTCTCAAATAAATCATACCCAAATACGACAATGACCCATTGCACAATAATAAAGATTTAATTGATCTGACACCTTCTGGTAGTCAAGATCCATCTCGCTATTTGTCTTCTTTATCCGTATGTTCTGCTATGGATTTTCCCAAATGCGATATCTCATTTCTCAATACTCTTCAGAACGCATCACCAAAGTTACCGTTGTACCAAGCTATGGTTGCAGGATCACATTTCACAGTACTTATTGATAGTGGTGCAAGCACATGTTATGCTCATCCAAAACTTCTTTCTCATGCACTTGAAATAACTCCAGTTACCAATCAAGCAGTTGAAACGGCGGATGGTAATCAATCTAACATTAACAAAAAGATTCTATTCCAAATGCATCTAGGTTGTCGTATTTGACGCCTAATTCCACGAATATAATTACTCTTATCTTGTCACTCGATTATAATGCATATAACCTATGTATTATAAGTACCATATTGCGAATACATTCCTATAGGTACGACACAGTACCAGCTCCCTCATATGTCAAACTGAGATCAGATTTCATAATCGTTCCTGGATTGGTCGAGTAGCTGCCGAATCTTCTAGTTTCTCATAAATTTATTTTAGTAATCCAATCAAGGACCCTGTCATTGAATGGATAAACTATAATGCTCTAGAAGTGCCGGATATGGGTCCACTAGCTCTTTGTATATAACAATAAGCTATTTTTCATATGTAACTGATTTCTAAATCTAATTCTACCATTTCCTAGTTTGCGGGTAAATAGTCAATTCGATCTGCGAAGGAAAAATCTTGAAGTGATAATTGAATATAAAAAGGACCTCTATTTTTATCATGACAAACTCTCCAACTTATAATAAAGGATTATGGAGTCTCATTTCTTTACTTGCTTTATTTTCCAATTACATTTCCCTTTTTATTTCTCAATTATCACATAGCTGATACGTATGGCCATTCTGAACAAATATCTGCGTTCATTTTTGAATCTAAATTCGATATTATTTTGGGTCGCAATTGGTTAAAGAACAGAAACCCTAAGCCTGATTGGTTTGACGATACGTGGATACTAAAAAGTTCTCAATCGGATAACGATGTTACATTGTACCCTATTAAATTTAAACATAACCTTCACACCACTATTTTAACTGCTAACCAAACAACTGACAATAATATTGCTATTTCGCAACAATTATTTGTCCCAATCAAGCACGACATACTTGCAGTCACCGATGCAGCCACATCGATAGATTATCTACTGTCTGCGAATCAAGTTTCTAGATTACTTAAGAAGAATGAAATTGAAGAATGTCACATGTTATATTTTATGCATGATGAGACGGGTAATAGCATGTTAATGACTCCAAGTGACAATGCATCTATTGATTTAGAAATGGATAAACTATGGAAAGCTGAATTTGCAAAATTATATCCATTTGCTTTCAAAGGCAACATTACCAAAATTCCACCACATCGATTCACCCGTGATATTATTCAAACTAACCCACCCGATGCTGCATCTATTTATCACCACCCATATCAAATGAGTCCAATCGAATTAGCTGAACTACAAAGAATACTAGCCGATTTAGAAAAGAAGGGTCTAATTGTCCCTACCACTTCACCATATGGTTTCCCAATTTTATTTATTCGCCATAAAACATCAGGTAAACTTCGAATGTGTTGTGATTTTAGGTCCTTAAACAAGATTAGTATATCTCAAGGAACTCCTATCCCTCGAATCGATGAATCTTTAAATCAACTGCATGGTTCGCGATACTACAGTCAAATTGATTTAACTGGCGCCTTCAACCAAACGAGACTTTCTGAATCTGATTCTGCCAAATGCGTAATCCCTCACCGATATGGACAGCATCGTTTTCTTGTGACACCTTTTGGTCTTAAAAATTCAGGTGCATATTTTCAAGGTATCATTAACGCTACGCTTAAAGAGTATATCGATAAATTCTGTCTGGTATATCTAGACGATATTTTAATTTACAGCAAAACCGAACAGGAACATAAAGAACATGTTAATTTAATTCTCAAAACTTTAAATGATGCCAAATTTATTATTACTGTGCTTCCACTCTCAATTTACCCAATGTTTGAAAAGTCCGCCCACTTTTTTGAAAAAAATTGGCCAATTGTGTGAAGTTAAATTGCCCAGAAAAAAAAATTATTTTGCCCGAATGTTTGAACTTAATTTGCCCACCTTTTCGAAAATAATTTGACCACTTCTTAGAAATAAAATGGCCAAAGTAATGGTTAAATTTTTATAACAATTCTTTATTTAAACATTTGGGAAAAGTATTGATAGAATGCTGGATAAAATTTTGAATGTGTTCGATGGGAACATCGTGGCAGCCTTCAATTATTCTAGTAGTAAGAGTCTCTAAACTGCTAAGTTTACCACGTTTAACCTTATCTTTTAACACTTTCCAAAACATCTCAATAGGATTTAGCTCAGGTGAATAAGGAGGTAAGTATACGGGTACATAACCTCTTTCTTCAATCAAAGGGTCAACAAGGCTATGACTATGAATTGGGGCATTGTCCATAACAATGTGAAATCCTTTCATATTTGGAAATTCGTCCATGATATCCAAGGTGTCGCTTATAAACTGAAGGTAATGACCAGCAGTTGTACCTTTAGGGATTGCTGATGCTGCATCACCAGGTACCTTACGCTTAGTGGCTCCTACCACTTTTCTTCTTTTTACGTTACCTGGATCCCTGATACTCAGATTTACAACCCCAAATGCTGATACCGCGCCGATTACGGTATGCGAAACCCCTCTCGCAGAGGGTGACTCAATAACGGCCTCAGTTCCTCGTTGTGACCAAGCTCTTGAACGGCGCATGTTTATGTCGAAACCTGATTCATCAAGGAAGACACAATTTTTCATAAAATCCATCCCTTTAGCAGGCCATTCCTCAACAAATTTAGCACGAGCCTCCAATGTTTTGTTGCTATTTCTGGCTACAGGGTGACGGGTGACTACTTTGATACTGAGGTTGCAATCCTCTTTCATAAACTCTGCAACTCTACTTTTCTTTATTTGCAGACCTTCAAAGCTTTTGGTCAGATTTTCCACCGCATCTTGGATGACAGCTGATGGGTTTTCGTCAAAAAAGTCCGTAAGGTAAGCTTTGTGTTGTTCATTTAGCTTACTTTCGGGTCTGTTTGACGTGCGATTGGTTTTTTTAAAGGGAATGTTCTTATCTGGATCTTGATCGTAAGCACGTTTCCACTTTCTTGCAGTCTCATAGTTGACGTTAGCGGCTTTGGCAGCTTCAGACGGTTTCATGAGCTTTTCCTGAATGAAATAGAAATAACGCAATCGATCTTCATCTGTGTAATAGTTGTAAACAGTTGGTCTTTCTACCCTTTTTGCTGCTTCTGACATGTCAATATCCTTAGGTTCTTCATTATCTGTGGTAACTTTTTTATTTTTAATGTAGTTCTTGAGATTCACCAATTTTGTCATGCGAAATGAGGGTTCTACAACAAAATTTGATGTTTCTTCTCCAGATGCATCTACAATTCCGCCTCTACCATCTTCTTGAAAGAAATTCATTTTGAATAATTTTATAAAAGTTCACTGAGCTGGTAAAAATATTTGTAAGAAGTGGGCAAATTATTTTCGAAAAGGTGGGCAAATTAAGTTCAAACATTCGGGCAAAATAATTTTTTTTTCTGGGCAATTTAACTTCACACAATTGGCCAATTTTTTCCAAAAAAGTGGGCGGACTTTTCAAACATTCGGTAAATTGAGAGTGGAAGCACAGTAGCATTTACATAGCAACAAATTGACACTAATTAACCGTGTGCCAGCAAAGTTTAATTTTAAGCCAATTAAACTAGAGTTATGCAGAATTAAAGGTTTTTAAAGGTTTCGTCAATCTCGGGGATCTAATTCGAACCCAGAGTTACACACCATTGAAGATTTTTAAAGTTCTTACTAGGCACGTATCGCTATGGACAGTGTTGGTTAAGGTCTTCACCAGGGGAGCGAAAAAATACAATTTGGAAACCCCGAGAATAACTACGAGAGCGAGATTATTTCAAACCAAACCTCCATTTCGGTAAAAATTTTGACCTTCGCTGCGCTTTGAAAAAACCTCGTGCTGCCGCAGGCCTGTTAAAAATGAATAGCGAATAAAAATTTATTTAAATAATAGAATATGTGGATGTGATAGAATAAAGAATATTAATTTCGTAATATTTCAGTGTAAACAACATTTGATGTGGATGATCCTTGTACACCTTCAATAGCTGATATTTCTTTAGGAATTGAAATTCTTATGTCACTGGGTTTTTTGACTCGCGATAATGCTACATACAGCTGTCCATGAGAGAAAACAGGTGTTGGAAGATATAGACCAACGGAATCTAATGTCTGGCCTTGTGATTTGTTGATTGTCATTGCAAATGCTGGTCGAATTGGGAATTGACATCTCTTAAATTCAACACCAACTTGTTCTACAGTAGAGCACAAAGTGATGCGTGAAACAAGTACAGTGTTACCTTCGTATGGTCCAGTGGCTACTTCAGCCTGAATTACATGCCGAAAAAAAGCTTTGCAGATAAGTCGAGTACCGTTACACACACCTTGTGCAGGTGCTAAGTTCCGAAGCATCATTATTGGAGAACCTATTTTTAATTTTAACGTGCCTCCAGTTTTAAATAGCGATTTTTTTTTTGTATTTTTTAATTGCCTAAAACTTTCCCAAATCAACCGATATACCAATGCGAATCAAAAGATATTATTTAAAAAGTCTTTATAAACAATATCTTATGAATAAAAAAAATACTTTTACTGCAAAAAAAAAAAGTTGTAGGACATCAAAGTTGGTTGCTTTTCAAAAAATTAAGCGGGGGCGTATAAGTGGGGTTGGAGATTTGAAGCACTACTATGCGCACCCAATTAAGTTCATTCTCCGTTCATGTAAATGTCAGCCAATAGAATGGCCTTATTCCCACTGAGAACTTTGTCATAAATGTTTCCCCCCAAAAAAACCCAGTCCCACTGGAATCCCTAACATGGCAGATCTTGTAAATGCTTAAGGTTTTCCAAAAATAAATTCTATTAAAGAGAAAACTATGTACAAGAATGGAAGACTTCCAAAACTCCAAAATTTAATTTTTAACCGGGATTTAAATATTTTCTCCTTTTTTGGATTCGTGTAACCATTTTTTAACTTGATTTAATTTAAAAATTTACAGCCAAAGTTTATTGAGGCCCCCCCCCTCTACCAAGGTCAAATTTTAACTTTTTTAATTTTTTTAACTTTTTATTTTTTTCTTTGGCGCTTATTCTGTTCATTACCCTCAGAAGAATGGCTTTCTTCGGCGGGATTTATCTAAGCATAAAACAATTAGGAACTTTGCCATACAAAGAATGAGTGCTTTTATCGTTCTTACCTTCGCAAGTATTTGACCAAGAAGTCCCCTCATATCATTCACCTATTCCATTTATGTATATAGTTAGATAATCTCATTCAATAATAAGTAATGCGAGAATATAAATTGTTACCTGGCTGCTCATCAGCTCCAAGCTGCTCTCCAACGATGTCAGACGACTTCCATAGACATCATTACCACTGGCACCAGGAGAGTCTTCTGAGCTCGGACCTTCCATGGTCTTGATGGCCGCAGACATGTAATGAGCAAAAGTGTCTGTGAAATCTTGCAGATTACTTGCCTGCGCGGCCCTCGTCTTTCTTGGTATGGGTGTCGTACGAGAGACCGAACGAGGAGAGGAAGCGTGTTGATCGTCAGCAGCTGCATTCTCCACAGCCTGCTCTTCGATTGTTGGAAAGTTGTTTCCTCCCCCCACTGCCGTGACCACAGTCTCTGCCTCCACATCACCATCTTCGAATTCATCATCAATTCCTCCTAGCTCAGCTTCGGCCGTTTTAAGCTTGATCAGCTCTTCGATCTCCCTTGCCTTTACACTCAAAGGTCCCCTACTTGGAGTACCTAGTGGATGATCAACACTTATTGTTAATAGTTGTAAAAGAGTATCATCAATTAAATCTTTACATACCTGTAGGTGACTTCGCATTTTTGAATCTCCCAAAAAGCGCCTTGAGTGACTTGGAGTCACGGTCATAGACTTGTACGGCCACTTGATTGTTTCCGGTTCCATTTTGGCTGGCAACTTCAACCATTCTCTTCTTGAAAAAAACTTGTACAAGCTCCCATTCATCAGCACCAGTAGGTAACTTATCCTGAACAGCTTCGAGTAAAACGTCTTGCTCGATGGCTGAAAATCTGTTTGATCCGCTCTTGTTTCCCATTTTGTATGAGTAATTGGTTTTTGTTTGATGTGAATTTATAAAAGTAATTATAATAAAAGAACATGTAAATATGATATCAACCATCTCTTAAATACTAAATACTTTTGAGACAGTCCCAAACGAAGCATTCTTTCCATAAATTATATTGTTTCATATATTAAAACAGGAACAGAAATTGATTAAACTATAAAGATTACTTTTATTTATTCGATTCTTTTTTCATATCTTCCTTTAATACAATAAACAAGTATGCCGTCAAGTAAAAAACAAAAATTCAATTTAATTACCACTGCTGCTTTTTCAGCTGCTGTTATATGCCATCTGTACCATTTGGATAAACCGCCGTATTGCGGACCAATCCTACATAAACTCAAGAAGCTTGCGTAAACCTTCCGAATCTGCTGCAACAGCACTAATTAATGGTCGTGATCGCAAATCTTTCCTGTGCCATTTGGGATTGACAGTGGAAGCTTTCGAAAATTTGTATGAAGAGTTCAAGCTAAAATATCCTAATGAGTGTCCAACTGCACGGCCTCGTGTTCTTGATGCCAAAATGGTTCTTGCTTTAGTCTTGACGTGGCTCCATAATACAATGAAGCAAGAGACGTTGGGCATAATTTTTGGTGTTCCTGCTGCAACTGTTAGTAGATCCAAGAACATGGGTATTGAAACGCTTTTAAAGGTGTTTAGATCAAAACCAAATGATCCACGATGGAAGATTGGATGGCCCTCTTCAAGCGAAAAGGCCGAGTTTAACGAAATGGTTTTGTCAAACACAACCAATGATTTCGAAAGAGGAGTTCTCACAGGTGTTTTTGGTTTTGTTGATGGACTCTGTAATATCCGATGTCTAAGAGACAATAATTTCAATCAAATATAAGATAATCCTTTATTAAATGCTTAATTTGCTCTTGTATATATATTATATGTTCATGTTTGTTAAGTCGGTGATTCGTTTTTGTTGTATCGGTGATTCTTATATGTTCCGTATCTACATTAGAGTAGTTGTTATTATGGTGAGATAGTCTTGTGATACACCAGACTCAACCTTAGGATCCAACATCCTGAAGATCCTTTGGAGCAAAATGCTTATTACAATGGATGGAAAGGCGACTGTTTTGCTTCTCAAGTAATCGTTTTTACTCCAGATGGATGCATTTGTTATGTCAGGTAGAAAATGAAAACAGTTTTGTTTACAAATGAATACTGATAAGCATGATTACATATATAGATACAACTGTCCTGGTTCATGGCATGACGCACAAATCTCTATTCCTTTATATAGAGATTTGCTCTCTCGTCGATGCCCTGAGCCTTTCAAGATCCTTGCTGACTCTGCTTTTCCTTGCAAAAGGGAATTCGCATCAAAGGTATTGAGCGTTCCCAAAGAAAATGCAATAGGTTTGAACCGAGCTGCTCGCGAAACGCAAAAGAAGCACGCAGTCATCACCAAACATAGACAAGCCGTTGAATGGGGAATGAGATGTCTTCAACAGTAGTTTGGAAGGCTCCATATGAAGCTTCCATCACACAAACAGGAAAGAAATGACATACTTACTGTTGTGTGGAGATTGCATAACTTCCGAACAAGGCTTGTTGGTATAAACCAAATTCGAACGGTATACTACGGTACATGGAACTACAGAAGAAATGTTCTCGAAAATAGAGTTCGAAGTAATTAAATAATATATTGTGCAGTTTAATTAAAATTAATTTTTGTCTAAACGTTTTGGAAGCCTTAACGATTTTAATCGGAAAATGCTTTAAGCGAAGTTTAAATTAAAATTAAAATCAAGGGAAAAAAGTTTTGGAAGTCTTCCAATGTCTTATGATTGCTTTTTTTAACTTAGAAGAAAAAAGTAAAGTATTTACGACTGCTTTCATTTTCGGTCGTTACACCACTATGTCGCGCATGTAATATTACCCCTGATACATATTCCTTTTTGGGTGAGCCGACTTGACATATTATTAAAGTTTTAAGGTTTTTTAAATAAATCCTCTACAAATTGTTTAGATATAAATTTAGGTAGCTAAAACTGTATACAATCATGTCTTAAGGTACCTTTATTACTTTATATAAAAATAAATGCTGAGAGTCTTTTCATTGTTGCCTCCTAAAATCAAACGGGGACAATCTTACGCTTCTGACGAATGTTAAATGCTCCTTTTTATCCTTTTTTGCAATTTTTCTATCATAACATGCCCAGACCTAACAAAAAACGAAAGGCTATTAGAAACAGACTTAGAAGAGAAGATGGATGCATTCAATCTGCCGAAGTGGTACTCGCTGAATGGGAAAACATTGAATTAAATCATGATCAACTAGTCGAGCAAGCCGAGGTTGTAAGAGCTGAAGCGAGTTCTCTTGATATTATATCAGATAGCAAAACAGAAATAAGTAAAAGACCACATACGTACACTGGTACATCCAGAACAACAAAATGGAGAAAGAATGTCGAGGCTGCAAAGGTAGATCCAGCCCAGACTCTTCAACGTTTTGGATTTACTGTTGCAAAAAGTGTAGAAACTCAGCAATTAACAAAGTTCATTCCTCACACGGAAAAAGAAATCGAAGGCATCAAAAAAATTATGCCTGCTATCAAGGCTCTTATTTTACCCGTAATGAGTAAGAAGAACGACTATAATGCTCGTGCATCATACAACAATGCTAGGTATTTTTCTATGTAAGAATATTGCTTGAATCGTTTGGTGGAAAAAAGAAAGGATTGGCTTCAGAAGAAGCAGCCAAAACATTCTGGCCCCCAAATTCAAAGGAATACCGTGGGATGACCATTGTCAAGTGGACAAAGGAGTTCATTGACGAGGGTAAGCTTTCTGACCACTCCCAAGACGCCCATGTTAAGAGAGTATCACTTTTAAGTGACTCGGATGTCAAGATGGCTGTTTTGGAAGAAATTCGAAAGATGAAACCAGCTCTTCGTTCCTTGATTATCATCAAAAAGATTATCGACGAGCAAATCATTCCTTCTGTTCTTGGTGTGGCTGAAAGTCACTTAAGTATGGCAACAATTTCCCGTTATTCGCACGAATGGGGATATTCATACCGAAAAAAAAAGACTATTTTTTTCGATGGCCATGAAAGAGAAGATGTGATCAACTACCGAGATGAATGGTCTAAAAGAATGGTCGAATACATGAAAAGATCAGAATTTTATGCTGGGGACAATGAGGAGGAGATTCTTGAGCCAGTTCTGGATGAAGGTATAAAACAAATTGTGTTTGTTACGCACGATGAATCCACATTTTATGCAAATGATGGTAAGGATGATCTGTGGTTGTTAGAAGGTGAGAACCATATCAGAAAAAAGGGCCCAGGATCGTCCGTAATCGTCAGTGAATTTCAATGCCCTGGCCATGGAACCATGAAGAGTGCTGGTTGGACGTCTAGAAGATTTTTCAAAGCGGGTGCGGGCAGAGAAGGATACTGGAAGTACACTGACATGTTCGAGCAGCTTCAAGACGATGCAATCCCTTTGTTTGAGCTGCTCTACCCTGGTTGTCAAGCTGTTTTCCTCTTTGACAACAGTTCCAATCACAATGCATTCGATGATGATGCTCTTGTTACAAGTCGTATGACACTTAATGAGAAGCCATACAAAGATAACGAAAAGTTTCAGTTCAAAGAGACGACTGTAATTTTAACGGATGGCACCCGCTTGGAGCAGTCTTTCTTTTACACCAAGAAGACCAGTGTCACCAACAGACTGGAGTATGTCGTGAAGACAAAGGAGACACGATACTTCAAAGGTATTCGAAAGATTTTGGAGGAAAGAGGCCAATGGCTTGGTCGTGATCTGGAAGGCAAGGCTTGCAAAATGCTATGTAAGTCGAAGGAGCCAGGCCACAGATCAATGTGTTGTGCTCGTCACTTTCTTGAAAGTAGACCAGACTTTGTGGCGCAAAAGTCGGCTTTGCAGCAAGCCGTTATTGACTCAGGTCACAATTTTGAGTCATATCCAAAATATCATTGTGAATGCAACTGGATAGAAATGCACTGGGGTTCCGCCAAAAGGGTGGCACGTTTGAGATGTGATTACACATTCAAGTCTCTTGATGATAACTTATCAAGCTATTTGGATAAAGCTTCCAATTTAGTTCATATAAAAAATTTTTTTTAAAGGTCTATGACCTAGATTGAAGCATATAGTAACTGTAGTGACGGTAGAGAAGTCGTGCAGGAAGTAAAAAAAATTGTCAGCAAGTCTTATTTATCTCACAGAAAAGTTAGACTTAATACTGGTTTATTGACTTAATAAGACACAAATTGCACAATGAGCATGATCACAATGAATCAAAACCATTAAGAATGAACATTCAGATGTATGTCTAGCTTAGGGATTCTACAAAAAAAAAAAAAAAAAAAAAACACATGCCCCCATTTCGATTTCGAAAAAAAAAATTTGAAACGAAATCCAAAAAATCGCTATTTAAAACTGGAGGCACGTTAACTCATGAGGTGGAAGACTGACACATTCTAAAGAGTTCATAAACTCTGGTGCCAATATCAACGCATCATTATCCGAAAGAGCTGTATAAGTACTGAGAAAAATGGTGTATTCTCCTGGAAACTTTTCCAAAACATGATCATTGACGACCGATACAAACGCATTGGTTGGATTCAATATAGCTCTTGACATCAAAGATAAAGATGTAACATCACCGGCGTTTTCAAAATTGTTATATACATGGGAACAGAGGTGGTCCATGCTGCTTTTGGGAAGAACCATCTGGTCTGGTATCGGAATTATATTGCTTGTGTTTGGGTGGATAGGGTAAACACCTTTACCAATACTTAGAAGAAAAGAAAAAAATTCCTGAAGCTCTTGAGCTGATTCAAAACTGTGCACCCATTGAGCTTGTTGTACGCGCATATTTAAAGATAATCGTAATTGCTTTATATGTCTCCAAAGATGAGAAGTAATCATGCAAGCTTGAATAATATCATCTTTAGTACCTTTGGGAACAACAGGTAAAACCTGACGAAAGTCACCACCAAAAACAATTAATTTCCCCCCAAAGGGTACTCTACCAAGACGTGAATCATGATACTTCATAATATCTCGGAAACTTCGATCAACAGTTTCCAGAACATCACGACTAATCATTGAAGCTTCATCCCAAACTATAATATTTGATGATGCTATTAATGCCGCGTTGTTACTCCTCGGTTTTAAAAAACACATTGACGCTTGATTACAATGTAAGGGGATACCGAATCTTGAATGAGCTGTACGACCACCTTGCAATAAAAGAGACGCAGTTCCACTTACAGCCACTGACAGAGCAATACAGTTTTTTCTCCTAACAGCCTGTAACAATGCATTAAAAATGAACGTCTTGCCGGTTCCGCCAGGACCATCCAAAAAACAAAGGTTATCTTTAAAGTGAAAGCGCGAGTTTCCGTAGGTTTTTCCACTCTCGACCAAATTCATAACAGTTTCAAAAACTGCACGCTGATCACTGTTGAAAGGACGTTCAGCTGGGTCAATCATTGAGCGTTCAGCTTCCAAGCATAACTCTCGTTGTTCGCGCTCAAGACGGCTCATACCTTCAAACCCTCGACCACTGTTGCCGTTTCGTGTATCAACGGAGGGTAGACAAAACCCGGCAATGTCATTGATCTTGATGTTATTTAAATCAAACATTTCATTCAAATCCAAGAGGCAGTTGCCATATGCCTCTTCTTTCATAGTATCCGTCAAAGCAGACGTTACGTCAGTAAGAAGCCTTCTTTGAGCCAATAAATAGTCGTCAGACAGACTATCCTTATGCGTGTTCCATAATTGAAACGGGCTGGATGGCTCACAAAAAATTAAAATTGTGACAAACAATCTTCGCAACATGATAGGGATTGAAATGTAGCACTTTCACACAAACATATGTCCCATTGCTCATCGTCAGCAAGCAGACCTTTTGCACGGGCAGCAGCTTGAAAGATCTCATGTATCACACCGTCGACGGTTCGTACGTCTTCAGAACTTTTGGCTCCACGAACGTAGTACAACAAAAGTCGCAAAAAATATTTTTCGGATTCTTTTGGTGAAACAGAATAGATACGGCCTATAATTTGATTACAACGCCTTTGTCTTTTTCTCCACACAGTTTCACTTTTGAGCCATGTATAATACTCCGGAAATTCATGATATAAGTATTGATTTGCATCTGGATCAGTCCTATTTATGATAAACCAAGCTGTCAAAGTTGTGTCTTTACTTGCTGCATTTGCAAGAACATCACCAAGATTAGCATCTACCGAAAAATGCACCATTTCTTGCCCAGGAAGGTGAATGCTTAATCTCTGATGAGCGGGGAATTCTTTATGCAATGAAAACCCAAATATTCTCCATAGAGTGCATCCGGACTTCAATGTGCCAAAAAAAAAAAAAAATTAAGCAGAGAGAAACGTTAAAATTGGACCACCACACTTTCCTCATAATTAAGGTCCAATATTTTTGGACATATATCATTTTAATCATGATTAAAATGAGAATATGAACTTTTTATTTTAAAAAAAAAGTGGGTCTGGGATTTTTCAACTCGATTTTAGGTGTGGGGGAAAAGATTTGTCACAAGCAGTTTCAAAATTTTAAATTTTTCTTTTCTGACCAATAGTATTGTCCCCCTTATATTATTTCCCGCTTTCGGACCATGAAATGTTTACTGCCTGTAATCTCAATTTGATTACCCGCATGCGTAGTATTGCAGCCTATTAAATCAAAGTCTTAGGACATTTATCGTCAACCCTATGACACAACAAAAATGATAAACCAAACTTTATGTACTAAGTAGAAACGCTTCATATTTAGAAGATATAATTTAGAGTATTTTGGACATAGATCCAACTAGTTGTTTATTTTAATTTATGTATTTGAAGGGTTGTATTCGTTAGATAAAATACTCAGTGACACAACCCGTTCAATCATAGTCTGAGATCAAATGTGATCGACCTTGTAAGGCACAAAAAGGATAAAACAAACTTTATGTACTAAGTAGAAACGCTTCATATTTAAAAAATATAATTTGGAGTATTTTGAAAATAGATCCAACTAGTTGTTTATTTAATTTATGTATTTGAAAGGTCATATTCATTAGATAAAGTACTCAGTGCCATAGCCTGTTAGATCTAAACTGAGATCAAATATGGTGAATTGTAAAACACAAAAAAGATGTATGAAATCGTAGATATACATTAAGTAAGAACGTCTACAACATGAAAACTTTGTTCACCTCAGTAATATTAGATGGAACGTTCTTTAAAATTACGAACGCATCAAAAGGGTTACTGTTTTTGAGCGTATTACTTCACGGGAGCTTTAAAAAGGACAAATAGAAATGTGAATTTAGAAGTTTGGTTTATTTTTATACCTTTCTAAAAATTTTCTTCATAAAAAAAAAGAAAACCCCCCACATTAACAAAATCTGGCTATGAATAAATTTCCTTTTATATTACTTGTACTAGTCGGAGATGAATGCTAAAAAATGTCACAGATTACGTTTTGGCACATTACAGTGAAGATGCACTCTAGAAAGGCCAAAGGCAAATAAAAAAAGAAGAGTCGTGGCAAAAGAAACCATTGTAAGACGACTAGTAAAAAAGGCGCCAACCAAAAAAAGTCAAAAACGTTAAAGAACAAATGCTTTCAACGACGATGTAGTGACTTGTTCCAATACGGATGAGGATGAGACCAATGAATCTAGTATGTCTGGTGATTCCAAGGCTTCTGCTCCAGAGAAAAATCATTCTTAATCTCAATCAGATACTATGGCGGAAGCACGCAAAATGATTGAATGGAATCTGAAGGACCTCGCATATGAAGGTAACTTTCAAAACATTGTTGCGCCAGTTGCTCCTGCCTTGAATCAAGACGTATCACAAGATTCATACGACAAGTATTTTAAACATGTAGTGCACTATTTCAGTATTGGAGTTACCTATGGTACTTTGGGTCTCTTGGTTTAATTTCCCGGCTGTTCCTGATTTTTATGTTTTACCGCAAGTGCAGAAGCAAAAAGGGCCGCTACACATATAAAAACATTACAGGCTTTAAGTATGTGAACATCTGCCCATATTAACGTTTTTAACAGATCCAAAGTATATGGAGTTTAACACCAGGTTCTTCAAAAACGTACGAAAAAAATTCAATACACTTTTACAACATTTTAAACTTGGTGTGTTTGAACTTGTATTATTGTGTACACGAAGTGGACTTAAAAAACTCACAGCCGATGAATTAAAAGATTTTGTCAATTGTTTCATTAAAGATAAGGAGTTGACTGAGCGATTGTGACAGATGACGATCGCCGAAGATTTCCAGAGAGCAATTGGTGATGTAGCTTGTACTGACTTATAAATATATGTATATGTAAATAGCAAAACAATGGCATAATGAATAAAGACATATACATTTTTAAAGCATTGTAATGCCCTTTAATCTTGATTGCATTGTTTAAGGGTAATTATACGGACATCGTTTTATTTTTATGTTTTTTTTTAGGTGTAAAAATATTTAGGGACACCGTTTTTGAGGACACGGACATCATCCATTTATGAGTAAAGATATAAATAATATTAGTAAACATGGTTGAACGAAGAACACAAATAATGGTTTTTAAGAAGGATAATAGATATTTGAATTATAAGATGATAGAAAAGAGGAAAAAAGCGCCAGAAAAAGAAAGTTAAGTATTTTGATAAAAATCAGAAAAATCGCTTGTGCAGATATCCCTGTGAACTGTCATAGCTTTTTAGTGAAGGGAACTGATGCTAGACAAATGCTCATAGGCGATTGGCTTGTTGTTTTTGATGTTTCTTTTGGGCTCTAAAAAATAAAAACGCGAATTACTCCAGAAAATGATGATTAGGTTATTCAAATACAACTCCGCACCGAAAATATTGGACACTTTTCACAAACATTTAAGCTCCTTTAGTCATGCATTTTTTTAAAACCAAAAACTTTTTAATAAAAGGTATTTCAAATTCTACCAAACTTAACAAAAATAGCAATATATATATATGTATTGTAAAAAAAAAACTTTTCTAATTACGTTAATAAGTGGTATTTGAGCCACGAGCTTTTTTTACTGCCCGACATCTATCGGGCATACTTTCTACAAGCTTATGACACATTTCATCCCCCAACAACTTCCATTCCTGATGAAGTGCAACCTCCAATTCATTAAGGGCCCTCACAAGCAACAAATTTTTTTTTTTAAAGATCCCGATTAAGGACTTTATTATTATTTTTATTTTTTTATTTTTTTTTGTGAAAGGTTACAATTTTGCCAAATAGATGAATAAAAAATTAAATGGATATATATAGGCGATTAACAATAACATCGAATTTTCTCCAGTGCCAAAATTTTCGAAATATCCCAATAAAGGATTAAAATCCAACGACCCCAGAATCCTTCTATCAGATGAAAAATCAGCCAAATTGGGCTACTGAACTCACCAATGTTTTTGTTTTTTTTTTTTGATAAAAGAGTTGTGTTTGTGATCCTCTTCATTTTTCTTTACCAATTCTTAACTATCCAATGTTATTTAACCAAATGCCTTTCCAAAAGTACACTACCATCGTCATATGGGATTCAGCAAGCACCAACGTTTTGATCGAGTTGTTTTCCGATTACGTTGTAAACGTGGGTGTTATTCGCTCACCTCAAGCAAAGCTGAATTTGAACAAGGCAACGGAAGATGCTTTTAATGCCAGTGACGCTATCAACGGTAGAAGGGACTTTGCAGCGATGAATAACAAGTGGATTCGCCTCTGTGATACGTTCAGAACCAGACGAGACGATGCTAATTCTACTGGTATTGCACCTCTTCAACACTGGGAGTTTCACGATCTGATGGAACAGGCAACATCGAGAATGCAATAAAACTGTAGTGGAGACTTTGTTGTCGGTAAAGTGTAGAAATGTCTGATTCCATAATCATATTCATATCATCATCAAGTCCAAATAAAATATATTGCGATTCAGCAACTACTGTAACAATTTGAGATAGGTTCATTTTGTTTTCTCTAGAAATAAAAAGTATATCGAAACAATAGAGTCCTTGAAAAATAATAACAGATAGGTTAGCATTTTGAGTGAACTTTATATTTTAATCGTTCAAAAAGGGTCATTAAAAAGCAACGTCATGGATTTTGGAAAAAGCTTTTTTTTGGAAGTCTGAAGTAACCTTTCACAAAAAAAAAAATAATAATAATAATAATAAAGTCCTTCATCGGGATCTTTAAAAAAATAATTTTGTTGCTTGTGAGGGCCCTAAGATTTTGAAGCTGGGCTCTTCTTTTAGCAATCCTTTGTCCCAGGAGGCGCCAAAGGTTCCCAATCGGATTCAAATCGGGACTTTGAGTGGACCATCGCTCAAAGCCTGCAATCCCAGCCTTCTCTTTCCACCACCTCGTATATCTTCCTGTATGGCATGGGGCACGGTCTTCTTGGAAAACAAAGACATTACCATATTTCTCTGTCAATTGTTCAAACCAAGGGGAAAGTTTTGACTTAAACAATTGACATATGTTTCTTTCTGTGATATTACCTGTAAGTTAATGCACTATTTCTTTGACTCTATTGTATTCTGATACAATATTTTGTAACAGCCGATTTTGAAGAATTTGCCATTGATTCCAAATTCACTGCAGAAATTGATGAACCTCTTACATCAACCGATTGTGAGTTTAAGAGGACACTTAAAAAGAATTCGAATTAATTTAGATTTCTCGGAATACGTTGACCATTGTTTAAATGCATCATCTTTAGATGAAAAGCTTGAATTGCATTTCGATGCTATGACGACAAATGTCTTTGATGACTCCAGTGTCAAATTTACGGTGGATCTACACATTCAAGAAGAGGTGCAATGTCTTCCTTGTGAAATTAACATCGATGCTATAATCACCAACTGCATATCCGCTGTCTCTATTCTGGATAATGTTTCTTTGGACATTGACCTTTGTCCAGGTAAAAGTATGGAGATCACACGTACGAAGGTGATAAGTACAAAGTCAAGAAAATCCCCTTGGCCTTGCTCGGTCGGGTGTCTGGTGAAGCCAAACTGAGCGTATATATGCTGTTCCCGCGAAAGATTCGTTCAGAGAGAATTTCTGCTTTCCTTTCGGATGATGAACAACGTGATTTTACCGATGAGCTTCTCCTCCCAGCTCTCCGGTCGACTCTTGAAAAGTCCGACTTTAACCGCATTGACAAAAGCTACAAGGCCGCAGTTTCTCGTGGACGGGGTTGTGTCCCTAATAATATCGTTGATGGGGAGGATCTCAACAAAACTGTGAAGACGCTTCGTAGGATGATCGTCGTCAACGAATCCCTTTTGGGGAAATACAAGGACTTTGTCGTTATTACCAGCGCGTTTGGATTTAAACGCAAATTTAGAGGTACATCCTTCCGGGATGTACTTTCATCCACCATTGATTGGAGTAAAGTCGATGAGCAAGCAACTTTTTTGGATCTTGGAGTCAACTTTGAGACGCGAACCGAGAATGGCGATAGTCTGATATCATTTGTAAAGACTAGCGAGATGACTGGTATTGCCAGCATTTTTTGTGGTGAAAAACCAAAAGTTGAGCCAATGAATATGGTTCTGGCTAATTTCGGTGGTCTTAAGGCATTAAGCAAATCTAAAGAACATGGTTATGCATCCAAATTTATTGTTTACAGTGATGTAAAAATCCCGTTTGTTTATGGCTAAAAAGGGTTCAACGGGATTCCGGCAGAACGTTGGGAGCCTAACAATGTTTTGACGGATCGTGACTAGGTCAATGGCCTCTACCAAAAAGCAATGGTAAGTACTTTAGGTAGCAAACAGTTACATTTCATGTGTTAAATTATAAAACTAGGAATGGTGCGCTACTCGATTGGAAGAAAGCGAACAAGATCGGTATACCCTGCGTGCCGAACGTCGTTTTTTGGCGTCCGCTATTAACAGCGATTTTATAAACTACTTCAAAAATAAGTTCCGGTGAGTGAATATTTTAGAAGTTTATATGATATAGCTTTATTAAAACAAGGTATTTATTAGTGACCTTATTCCTGGTTCCTGTTACCATTTTCGCACGCAGGACTACATGTCATATATCACCTGTCGTCTGAACCTCTTGGATGAGATGGCACAGGCCTTGAAAGGTTGTGAAGACATTTGTTCTCTTTCCGGTGTTGCCCTGGTATCGTTTATAATGAACACACTGATGCATTCTGGGAATTTCCTTTACGTTTTCTTTATACCAGATTTTACATCAAGGTGGCATCAGACCTTATAATTAACGACACAGACTAACAAAAAACGCGTCCCATCAGTACATTACTCCTTCAAACATAAAGCTGTTCTTTTATACCATACCTAACAGTACAAAGGTAGTAGATAGTCATCATAAGGGACGCGTAAAGACTTGAATAATGTTGCAGATGAAAAAAGAATTAATAAAAAAGAAAAAAAGTGGGAATCGATGACGTTTGCGGAGATTTGCAGCTGGCCTTTGCTTTTGCGTGCGTCCGTGCGCCTACAACACCTTCCATATATATTATTTGGTTACTTGTTTCATTTGTTTCTTCTTTACATAAAGACACGTCACCCATTCACCATTTTACCAGTCATAGAGATTACGTTGACTTTTTCATTTTTATTGCCCTTTAGATATAAATTAAAATATCAAGTAGAAAAATAAAATAAAAAAAAACCTACACTTGTAATTTTATACACCTGTCCTTTGTTCCTTACAAAGACTTATTATATCCTATCCCTTTACTTTAGTATCAACTTTTTATATATGTAAAAAAAATACAGGCTCTTGTTCCTGTTTACCTTCATTCAAAAATTCATTTTACGGTTCGTATTCAATGCGAACATGCCTTCATCCTATTCATCATGACTTATCCTTGCCCAAGGATTTTTAAGGATGCATCCTAAATTTCAAAGATAGTCAGCTTAAAAAAAAATGTGCCCACATATTTCAATCTCATCAACATATTACGCAACATATCTTTGGTCAAGGATGTTCGGTGTATTAAAAAACACTTAAGTTTTCTGAAAACATCAATGTAATCATTAAAGATACTCAAACCACCTAGCGAAGTCATTCGAGAGATTTGATTCCTATAGAGAAAATGTAAATAAAACTATACCACGAATGTATTTTGCTATATGTCTAAACCGTCGTTCCGTCAACATCATTTTCAAATTTAATAAACAAGTAGCATATGATTGACGTACACATTTATAAATATATTTATCCCTGAAATTATGTAAAAGAAAAAGAAGATAGTTTATTTATTTTTTTAAAAATCGCCATACAAAAGACTGATGTTTTTTCCCGATTGGTCTAAGCTAAGGTTCTTATCCTGTCTACGCTGCTCTGCCTTGTGTAACGCGGCCTCATCCGGGATGTCTTTGGCAATCGCATCTGCTTGAATTTTTTTGATTATTCCACATCTTCTGTCATAGTATGACCTCTGGTTTGTCTTGTACCAGTCAGGTTCTATCCTGTTTATCTCCACAATGGAATAATTTCCACCCAACCCGTGGAACCACTCACGCCAAAGGATGGGCAATGTCATGATCCTGTTACATTTTATGCCCCAAATATGCAATATGAGTAACCAGCTTTCAGACTCAATATTCATCATTGATCTGTCAGCTCTTTAAATCCTTTGTCATGATCCACATAAGCTACGACTAACTTTTGTCATTGCTTATTCTTTTATTTAATTTCTTGTTTTCCTTTCTCTATAAATATAGCTGATAAATTTCACTTCTCCCAGTTTTCTTTATCAGATATATTTCATAATCATCTTCTCTTTTCTTTCCTCCATTTTATTCTTAAATAAATAACCTGCTTCAAGAAGCTATTCATTCTCTGTCCTGTCCTGCCTGTCTCGTTCCTCCCTCGTTCCTGACAGTCAAGGTCAAGACCTTAGCAAACCTATAACTCACAGTGGTGTTTGATCTTGAACGAACCAACGCAGAAGAGGGTACGACAGGCAATGGTTCGTCCGAAAGCAAGGTTGATGAACCAGCTCCAAAATCGGTGGTTACAACTGGTGGCTGTCTAATATCACCTGGTATGTGCACATTAATATTAAGTGGTGCCCTACCTGTGGAAATGTCAGAAAAGTGTTGTAAAACAGTTTTCATTTGTTCGTTCCTGAGTCTGTTTTCTGTATCGAACTTCTTTGCCATCATTTCGAGCATTTGATCGATGAGAGGAACGGCTGTTCTTCAACTGCATAATCACAGGATCGTTCCCCTGATTTTCAATGACAGCAGCTTGGAGATCACTAAATAGGTCATAAATTTAATATTAGAAGATTGAAACATGATTCAGAAGAATTATATTACCTGCTAAATTGTCTAAGCAACTCATCATCGAAAAGGGGATTCATAAAAATGGGGTGTCCGGGGTACTTCTCTCTCATGAAGACTGCATCTTGAAGAAACGTAACTCTAAAGGTCACAAGCATTTTCTAGAATGATATATCAGAATTAGATGCTTCCGCAACACCTGTACGGATTATTCCCAACCATTCATCAGCCCAAGGAAAGAGCTTCGGTTGTAATTTGACAGGAGGTTCCAAAATTGCACGGGGCAAATAAAAATGTCCCTGGGTTAAAGGGAAACCAGCCGAGGTTCTCGTAGTCTCTCGTGGGAGACCGGTCAAGTAGGTACCATTCATAGAAGTGTTATTCCATTGACCTTGTCTTCTAAATTGCTGCACGCCAACACCAGCCAAGTCAGCCATTCTTGCACCTGACCCTCTTCCAATATGCGTTACCTTGGTGGTGTTGATGACATCGACGGCCACAATTGCCTTCTTAACTGCATCATAGTGGGAGCTGTATTTCCATTCGGTGGTGGGGTTGTTACCTGTCTTAAGAACCTTAACGCCAAACCATTCACCTGACGTTGGGAATGTCAAAAGTGGTTAACCTTCGCTATGACACCTTTGAAACATGTAACTGCTAAGCATCATGATTGGACAAAGCTCTACAATCTTGTTACGTATACAACCTGAGAGTGCAGTCTTGCCATGCTTGTTGGTTTTTCCGTTGTGCATTACTATGATAAGAGCGGGGCATTTGGTGAGACCTTCATTTTGAAGATAAATCATCTGACTATCATCAAGTTCGGCAGCTCTGGCATTTTGGCCACGAAGAAGCAAGTAATGCGATAAGAAGAACGCCAGGCAATTGCGCAAATCCTCAGATGTTTTTAACTCAAAGTAGTAATCTGAAAACTTGACGAGTTCTTCCATGGTACTGTAACCGTCGATATATGTGTTGGAAGCACGGTCGACGTTCTGCTCTCTTTTCTTTTTGTTTTCCATACATTTATGAGCTTGCAAAAAATCGGTAACGAAGGGACGGGGGTTCTTGTTGGAATTTGCACCAATCTTTACTTGCTCTCGGTACAGTGACATAATAGCTGATACGTATTGTTCAATGGCAGTATACTTTAAGCTTTCTGGCTCTTAACCATTACCACAGCCGCGCACGGTTTTGTGAAAATACACACTCAGCTGATATTTTTCACATACAGATGTAATATTCATCAAATGACTGTGAAAACACACAATCAAAAAAAAATCCCATTCCCATTCTCCATTTGAATAAAAAAATATTTACATGTCATCATTTATTACGCCTCTTAAAAAAAAAAGCGTAAAAATAGCAACCTACTACAGTTCACGAAGAGAGCCAGCTAGACGACTACCAACTTTTTTACAAAAGGTGACATAAGGCCAAACAACCTTAAAAATATTCGGCGATTCCGAGTACCGGACGAGACCAACGACTTGCAGAATGTCGCTGACTGATACCACGGCATACTTCTTGTACTTTGCACCTCTTGAATTGCGGGCGATAGTTACAGCATTGTAATTGTCGAACTTTTGCTGCTTCATTACTACAACAATTGCAAAGAAATGCTCAAAGCCATTGCGACTGTGGCTGAAGTAACATTGAACCTCACCAACAAACCCAGCCGAAAGAGATCTAATTTCAATTAGGTAAGTACGAATGGAATATAGTACGATCTCAAGGAATCGACAACTACCGACCTACGGACGCTACAACAAATGTCTTCATTGGATGATCCTTCAAGGGATTGAGTGACGAAAGGAGACCACAACTGAACACCAGAAAGATGAGCTAGATATGAGTCAGGGAGATCCACGAACTGAGGGAACTGAACCTTCAACAAAGCACGTACGGCCATCTTGTTGTAATTGGCTTGGTGGCGGAGAACATTCGAAGCGTTGGCCCCTACAAGCTTTGTTGCCTCGATCAAATTGGTGAACTTTTTGATCGTGCGTTCCATTGGCCTGCAAGAGTAACACTTAAGTGGACCCATTCGTTCAATTAAGAAGGGAAGATGCGACAGATAATGGTTGTTCGAAGTAAAAACCCAAGCATTGATTCGACCTGCATCAATTTCAAGTTTGAGGAACTCATGCCATTTGTTGAAACATCTACAAAAATGTTAGCCACTATCATTTAGGATAAGAGCATTTTTATATGACCTTCTCATTTTCACAATATCAGCTGCCGAAATACGCCTTTGAAGAGCAATGGAGCATCCATCAATACGGACTTACAATGATCGTTTTTAATGAGTGGGATCTTGATAGTTGGAACGATATACAAGAGAAAATCGAGGTAATCGACAGCTCTTGAAATACCCACATTTGAACTCCAGGTCCCTTCAAAAGCGGATAGTATATCTACCCTGCTGTTGTTCACTCGAGAGTCAATCACACCAAAAATGTTTTTATTGTCGTTGCTCAATTGAAACGTGTAGTTGGCACTGTTCACGATACATGTTTTGAATTTTTCGTTCTTTTGTGGATTCAAAAGATTGTAAACCAAGGTGCTAATACCTCTGCCGTGAAAGAAAGGAGTTCCACGGAAAGTTGGGAGTGAACTAACCAAAGGATCAACACCGGGCATGCCAAGGATCTAAAATATATGTTTAGTAAGACATCAACATTTTGTATTATCTAATCAATATTTACCGGATTTCCGTAAATCAATTCATCTCTTGACCTCATTGTCTTATTCGTATCCACGAACTACACACCATGTTGTGCTCCTTCAGCGTGTACACCGGCTACTTGGCACAGTCTACAGCCATGCTCGCTCATATGTCCACGATGGTTCATTAGATCAGCAATTCCAGGGATATCACCGGTCATGCCAAGCAGAAATACTTTGCTTTGTTGGACGATCTCACCATTTTTTTCCACCATAAATCCTTGAACACTCAACGAATTGATCTCGTCAATGATTGATTTCAAAAAACTCATCAAATACTTTGGCTTTTTACGGCCGGGAATGATGGCCAATGGGATCATCATTGAATCTTTTGCCCTGTGAACCAGATAAGTTAAAATTTAAAATAAGCCCAGGCATAGACTAATTTACATACCTTTTTGACGCAGGGATACTCATCACCATGCAGTGAACAAGTGTTTGAGAACTGCCAGGTTTTGATTTATTAGGAAATCCATCGACGTACAAAACAAGGCAGATGTCATTGCGTGTAAGCAAGTTTTGATCAAGATACTGCTTATACACCGAACCCGAAAACATATCAATGTACGTGTCTTCTTCATCGGACTCATAACATTCGACGGAATATTTGAAGTCTTCTCGGATTTCATCATCGACCAATAGTTCAGCGAGAGATGCGCCAACAGAAAAAATTCCCATCGTTTGGAAAGCAGTCTGAGGTGTAGAGTCACCAGCACGAATTGATGTCTCGGCTTTTTCTTGGTCTTGATAACGCTCCTCGTCACAATCAGGATTGATACAGCGTAATTGCTGTACGTTTTCGTCGAAAAGAAAACACCCATTGCGACACACATCAAACGTCTTTACGGAGTCAATGCTACCTTTGTTGAGGAGTCTGTGGATAGCACCTGGAGAAGCGACAGGACCACCCAAACCTAATCAGAATTTAGTATCACAGAGATTTTGGAAACTAGATGATTATCTACCTGAAACAACAACCGGATCAATCAATGAAAGGAGGCGCGAATTGATGTGCTTTACAACATCACGCTGGACTTGTCTAGAGACGCCATTATGATCAAGAAGTTTAATCAAGCCAATGCCAAATTTCTGGATTGTGTTCTAGTCCTAGTCGTAATCAAAATGCTTGTATTTGATAGCGTTTTCATACACAGCACCAGCTCAGGATAGCGACTCTAGTACGTTTTTGTAGGTTAGTTAAGATCCAGTCATTATAAACCCAAAAGTGATGATAGATATTACCAAGTGTTTCCTCCATAGCCGTATCGATATAATCATATGTTTCAGATGGTCGCGCAATAGTAGGTTCTTGTACACCTTTCATCTGATGACTATTATCATTCAACAAATCTCTCAAAGTAAACGTTGAGCAGTTGTCTTTTGCCTGGTGTTGACGCATCATATTATTATTTAAAAATAAAAGACCGCACAAGGGGCAATGGACGCTGTATGCAGCGTACATTTTTTTTTTAAGAAAAGGAAAATAAGAAAGAAACAGTGCAGCTTATAGTTTGACATTTATATATTGTTACGAAGGGGCTGGAAAACTCCAAATTTAAATCACAGATAATAATTACGTATTGACAGAATTTATTTTTAAGAGTTAACGCACTGTCATTATGGCGTCATTATGTAAATTTAAATCAGCGTACATTGGTTGAAGTATTTAAAAACACGTCTTTTTTTTTAATACTTTATAATAACAATATTTGAAAACAATGCCATACAATCTTAACGATCTCGTACGTTCCAACCAAGAAATTCGTAACGAGTTGAAACAACTGACAGATGTTATATCACAACTTGTTAAAGAAAATGCCAACGCCTTGATGAATTCAAGAGATTCTGGCAGCGACACCTCAAGTGTGACATCTGAAGGTAAATTTGAATAATAAAACGTTTTATTTCAATAAACATTAATCAATTAGTCTACTGTAGCTGCTACGGAGCCAATATGCAATTTTCCTGACAAGGTCATCGGTCGGTATCCATTTGGGAAAGACGGTGACAAAGTGCCAAGTGACAGGCAAGCACTTTGGGATTTCATTTTGTGCATTCGACCCGAGTTCAAGGCTTCACCTACTGACAGCTTAAAAGAGGAGGAGACGAAGATCGAGCAGGTCAAATCGCTTCTCAGTATTTTGAGAGGTTATGCCAAGACCTGTTTTCAAGAATTGAAGTTTGAGGTTTTAAAGAATCCTGACCTGGTAGACTGTACCTGGGGTATGTTGAGTACTGACTGAAGGTTAAAGTACATTGTACTCTTGGAGAAGTTGGCAAGAAAAAGTAAGATCGAGCCGGATACATGCCAAAATCGATGAGGTGCAGAGAGCATGTTGGCTAATGCAGCTCACAACAGTTTGGGTAAAAAGGTAGATGCCAATATAGTAGCATAATTCTTATTATAAATCTAATTATTTTTATTTAGCGCACAGTAATCCAACGATGAAGAGGAAATCCCCTCTGATAATGCGTTGGAGCAGGCGAGCCGTGATGGAGAAGATCACATTATGGCTGTCGCGAAACCCACACTCAAGAAGAAGAGAAGGAGAATAGTTCGCCCTTTAAAATATTAGAGTGCATCTTCATTGTAATGTGCCAAAACGTAATCTGTGATGTTTTTAGCATTCATCTCCGACAAGTACAAGAAATATAAAAGGAAATTTATTCATAGTCAGATTTTTTTAATGTGGGAAGGTTTTTTTTTTTTTTTTTAAGAAGAAAATTTTTAGAAAGGTACAAAAATAAACTGAACTACTAAATTTACATTTCTATTTGTCATTTTTAAAGCTCCCGTGAAGTAATACGCTCAAAAACAGTAACCCTTTTGATGCGTTTGTAATTTTAAAGAACGTTCCATCTAATATTACTGAAGTAAACAAAGTTTTCACATTGTAGACGTTCTTACTTAATTTATATCTAGGATTTCTTACATCTTTTTTGTGTTTTAGACTTCACCATATTTGATCTCGGTTTAGATTTTAGAAGTTATGGTACTGATTACTTTATCTAACGAATATGACCCTTCAAATACATAAATTAAAATAAACAACTAGTTGGATCTATTTTTAAAATACTCCAAATTATATCTTTTAAATATGAAGCGTTTCTACTTAGTACATAAAGTTTGTTTTATCCTTTTTGTGGCTTACATTGTTGATCATATTTGATCTCAGACTCTGATATAACCGGTTGTGGCACTGAGTACTTTATCTCACGAATACGACCCTTCAAATACATAAATTTAAATAAACAACTAGTTGGATCTATTTTCAAAATACTCTAAATTATATCTTTTGAATATGAAGCGTTTCTAGTTAGTATATAAAGTTTGTTTTATCCTTTTTGTGCCTTACAGGGTTGACAGTAAATGTCCTCAGACTTTGATTTAATAGGCTGCGATACTACGCATGCGGGAACTCAAATTGAGAATACTGGCAGTAAGCATTTCATGGTCCGAAGGCGGCAAATACTATAGGCGGGACAATACTATTGGTCGGAAAAGAAACATTTAAAGTTTTGAACCTGCTTGTGACAAATTTTTTCCCCCACACCTAAAATCGAGTTGTACAAATCCCGGACCCACTTTTTTTTTTAGAGTAAAAAGTTCATATTCTCATTTTAATCATGATTAAAATGATGTCTGTCCAAAAATATTCGACCTTCATTATGAGGAAAGTGTGGTGGTCCAATTTTAACGTTTCTCTCTGCATAACTTTTATTTTTGGCACATTGAAGTCCAGATGACATTAATAAACCAGGTTTTTTTTTTTTTTTTTTTGTCTCTATACTTCTCTTTCTTTCACTTTCTCTCACTTTTCACTTTCAATGGAATAATAAGTTTATATTTCAATTCATGTAATACATTACAGTAAGGTCAGTTACAGTTGTTAAAATCAAACAGATTTGCAATAGTAGCGAGTGTATGTACTCATCTTATCCGGTCAAGACATTTTAGGTGTTGACCAGAGATTGTTTAAATCATGATGTATCAAAGGTAATAGAAGTTGCTTATGATGTCCAATACGTCTCTTTCTAATTTGTTTGTTTTATAGATGCTGAGCACTTCACTGTCAATAACTAGGTATTATAAAGAATATAAGACTAATTGTTTTTAGGCTTTTTTTATATATTTTAGTCTCTTTTTTTTATTTTAGGCTCTGTGGAGAAACTTTGTTTAACACAGAAAAAATAGAATAAAAAACAGGTAAATAAGATTAATAGTGCTTGTAGGCTTTTATTCTTATTATTAGTTTTAAAACTGCATGACCTCGTACATTATAGTAGAAGGCAGGGTATTTATAGTTATTGGGATCTGTAGTTTAAACGGTTATCTAATAGTTAGTGAAGGTACCATTGGGTGGTATAATACATGTCCGATGGTGCCTTAAATTTAAGCAGTCATTGCCTTTATGATTGGATTGATTCGTAAACAATGAGCTAGTCTTATTGTTCTGTCAGAATTGAGAGGACGATGGTTCTAAGAAATCTTAAGTCAAACTGAGTTCTAAAGTAGTAACTCAGTTTTTATACCTGATGTTCTTTTCTTTTGTGATATTGTATTTGGTATATGAGTCGACCATGTGGGATCGACGATTTATTTATTTTATTTTATTATTTATAAGTGCGATTTTAGCACAGGCTCTTTATTATTATTTTAGTCTCTCTTTTTTTGTTTTAGGCTCTTTTTTTTTAGGCTATATTTTATCATAGGCTGTTTATTCTAGGTTGTTTCTAAGAACTACGTGGCTCTTTACCAGTATACATGTAAGTCTGTCAGGCAAATCTGTTACTTCCTTAGCAGGTTCTTAGTATGTGAGTAAATATCTCTACCCGAATAATTCCATATAGATAGTAAAGATAACCAGTGGTATACTTAAAATCGCTTCAAGTTAAAAATCTCAAAATAAATGCAAATAAATACAAATAAATCATTTTTAAAATAAAATTTAAACGTCTTTTTTAAACCATATTTCCTATGGAAGCAACATATTAATGTGAACAATTAATAAACTAGTGTTGTATATTAAGTGTGTATTTGTAAAAGGGATGCCATTGTAAGAATAATAATGCAATGTACGATTGGTAAAAGGCCCACATACAGTACATGTGTAAATAAACAGCGTATAACGGTAAAAAACTTCAATTAGATGTGAAAACGCACAACTATTCAATGTGAGTTTTAACAATCATTCATTGTGAATTTACACAAAATGCACCATCATTGATTGCTTAAATCGGCCATTTAAGCAATCAATGATGGTGTATTTTTGGTGTGTTTTAGCAACATTTTACCATTTGGTGCGCCGCTGTGTTGTTCAGCGCGTTCATTTACGTTAAAATATCTGAAATTGAAGCATGAGTACGGCCATTTTTGTATTTGTAACAATTTGTAGCATTATTTCCTTTGCAAAGATTGACCAGTATCAGGCCGGATTTGCTTTTAGAGCAAAATATCTCAGTTGAACGTTTTTCAGCTTAGAATTTTACTCTATACTATGTCAAAAGACGCCTTCAGTGTAAGCGTTTTTGGTTTTATATTATTTTGTTATATTGTTTATATCTCGTATGGATCAGACTCGAAACGAAAATTCCGGGCCTAATATTGTTCTCCGTGTCAAGTTACATCATTATACTGGAATTCTGCTATTTCTAAACACGTCTTTAAAAATGTTACAAACATATTACTGAGTGATTCATTCCTGGGGTACTGTAGTCAGTTTTAAGAAAAATTATTGTCGATTTGGAGACTGATTGTGATAGTCCTACCCTTTGCGAAGTCAACTTCGATGCTTTCATTTCTTACCTGTTGAAGGAGCTGCCAATAATGTCTAAAACTCGTTTGAAGCTGTCTTTAAGCCCCAATTGGAAGCAACCGTTGACTCGTCTGGACTTCGGGTACTTCACGTTTCGTGGTGAGAGGGACTCTGTCAAGAATTACCCACACACTTTGCTTTTGTAGGCCTTTTCGGAAGCCTACATGCATATTCATGTCCTCTTCCCGAACATGAAGAAAATGAAGCTTGGTGTAAAAAATTCTAGAAGAATGTTGGGTGCTGCTGCTCAAAAGACTTTCACCGACCGCCTCCTTATTCCGGCCATTCGACGTGTTCTGATTTGTTCTCGTGCAAATCGATCTGGTGGATCTTATGGCGAAGCCATTGGTACTGGATTTCATATGACGGTGCCCAAATTTTTGCTTGGTTCGGAGCTTAAGCTCTTAGTCAAGTCTATGCGTGATATTGCGAAGGAGAGCGCGGATTTGGCCCGAAATCGTCATTTTGTTTTTGTGGTTTCTTCTTTCGGGTTTAAAAGCCCAATTTATGGTCCGGACTACACGTCCATTCTTGATACCATGGTCGACTGGTCCCAACTTGACCCTCAAAGATGCCTTATCGACATTGGCTTGAATCTGTTTGCCCAATCCGAGGATGGCCGACCATTGGTATTGTATGTAAAAGAGGAAAAAGTCGAAGCTATGGGAAAATTTTTTGGAGGTCCATCCATAAAGACCGATTTTTACGGAATGTCTTTGGGTTATTTTGGTGGCTTTTCGGGGAAAGGTCGTTCCGGTAGTCTTTTTACGCCTTCGAAAGTAATGGTATATAATGATATCAAGTATCCGTTCACGATGTCCAATCCTGGTGTAAACGGAAAGGTATCCGGTCCATGGATACCCGAGGAAATGAGAAATACCTTTCGACATCTTTTAAAGAATATGGTATGCAATACATTTAATATAAATTTTCCCATATATTTACTTCAAAAATTGTAATAGAGATGGTATAATGCCCGTGTTTCCGAATACCAAGGCCACCAGTTTACTACTCGTTTGGAGGTTCGTGTCCCGGCGATCTCGGCTACTACGGCTTACGTCGACGTCTTGGTCGCAAAGTTGAAGTAAGTTTTTCTACAGGCAACTCCTTTTAGATACTTTATTAATTATTCTGCTTTTAATGATAGGTCTTCTTTTGCTGATAAAGCCTTCATCCATATAGATTCGGGAATTTACCTTCAGTACGTTGGTCTCATGGCAAATTTTCTAAGTGACTTGGCAGAAAAATGTCTTGGTTCCGTTTTGTTGCAGTCGTTCTCCGGGTTGTATCTCTCCGCGTACATGCTAAATAACTTGATGCATTCTGATCAATCTTTAACCGACTCTTCAAATTTCGTATCATCAAGCAGATGTGATAAAAACAGGTTGTGTTTTTTGCCTGGTGCGTTTGCTGTCGATGGCGACAGAGTCATGTTTGGGCACACATTCGATTCTACTTGTATTCAACAGGCATTTTTCCGACTGCGCACACAAAATTTAAACACCTTCTAGGTAACCACCATTCCTTGTAGAGCAATTTAACACGAGTAGTTGTAAATCAACTTTATAAGCTCAAATTTAAGCACAAAGCAATTTTAAAAATATAGTACTTTTTTATATACGGCAATATATATCTTTTCCCCCCTGCGGCATTAAAAAATGTTTAAACTCCTTTGAGGTCTCACAAAATAATGTGGACCGGTCGGCACTTCTACATTCAGAAATCCCTTAAATTAGGTTAAATAATACTATTATGCCATGAATATGGTAAGGGTTTCAACGCAGCAAAAGTCATAAACATATTTAACAATTAGTAACTGTTGTTCCAAATATCGAAAGAATATTTTCTAAAAATCCAAAATTCCGTATAGAATTAACCACGATCTGCTAAACGTTTTAGAAGACTTTTAGGCACACAAATGCTCTTTTAATCTTTCTCGAAATTTTTATTTTAAAAAAATCAATAAAGCAACATTTTGACATATCGAATTCTCTACTCAAATATGGATATTTCAATTGCAGTTTGACCGTAAAGATTAACGGATGGGAACTTTGATAATTACTTACCACCGTGACGACGCGACAGAAAACAAGCAACTAGTGTTCAGCGAGGGTAGTTGAACCAAGAAGAACCAGGATCTGGATCTTCTGGAATGTTTGATAATGGGTGACACAACGTGTCAATCATCCAAAGCAAGGATAACAGTTTCGGCCAAAAGGCGGGAGGTTTGTGATTTTTCTTGGTGGGTAAAGAATTCAGAGCAAAATCAATACGGTGAACACCAGGAGGAGGGACAGGAAGAGAATCAATCAAGTCGGCGTCAATAGCACGACAAGTGAGAAAATGATCACGAGTTATGATTTGACCAAAGTCAGCACAAGGACATTCGTATCTTTCCATGGCAGTAAATCGACCAAGACGCCATCTTACCAAACGACTACGAGCGGAATTATTCATAGGGAGGTAGAGGATGGGGTCAGGAACAGAGGTGGATGGGCGACAAGCGCGAAGGAGGACATTTTTACCAGTAGTGGCGTGATGGGCTCTTTGATCGTCACAAAAATTCTGCCAATAATCACGATAGTGATTACGGAGATGGATTGGAGAAGTTGGTATAGGATCAGGGAGAGAGGTATAAAGAGCATTGGTTTCTAATTTGTTGCCAAGTCTTGTTTGAGAGAGAGATTCTTGGAGGAGGATGAGGAGAGAATCTTCTGGAAGGTTGGCAGAGCGTAGCACGTATTTAGTAACCAAGGTATTATAGCGGTGGAGCATACCAGGGAGACAAGTGATGTGTTTAGCAACTGTTGTATGTTTACTACCTACGAACATTGACACAAGTGAATTTTGTAGGGTGTCTAATTTACTCATTTCACGGGCTGTGAAACAAGAAATAGCCAACCCATACTCAATTTTTGGTCGAATGAACGTTTTGTATAGGCGTGCGGAGAGAAGGAGAGAAAAACCATTACGGTGTACACCGATAGAGGTAAGGAGAGACATGGTTTTTTTGGCTTTGGAGGATCGAGCTTCAATACTTTTACCGGCATTTAAACCTTTTTTAGTAAATTCCATACCCAGGTAACAGAACTGATCAACAGTGGGAATGGGTTCACCATAAAGAGAAAAGGCAAAATTGGGAGTTAGAGAGGAGCGAGGAGAAGGAGCGTTTAAAATGGCACATTTGGAAGGAGACCATCTGTAACCAAGTTTGAGAGAGTGATCGCCAGCGATCTGCAGCATTTTTTCAACTTCATCTTTTGTTCCAAAAATGGCAACATCATCAGCAAAGAGAAGAGAATTAATAGCTACAGGTTCATCATCGTCGAGACCGAACACAGTAGGAGTAGAATCAGAGGCAGCGCTACGCAATACACCAGGAAGAGAATCAATATACAGAGAGTATAAATGAGGACTAAGCACAGAGCCTTGCAACAAACCAGTGATGGGAGTGAATGGATCTGATCTATGATTGGCCAGCAATACAGAGATAGAAACGTCATCAAACATATGGATGAGCAGGTTGAGCAGAGGAACAGGAAAAGAGGATTTTGAGGCAAGGATATTCCAGACTACACGACGATCCACCGTATCGTAAGCTTGTTTGATATCCAGAAAGGCAACAGAAGGAAAATGATAATGCTTGTTAAAGTAATCATGCATAAGATCATGCAGACACAAAGCTTGGTCAAGAGGACTACGCTGTTTACGAAAACCACCTTGGGCGTGATCAAGAGCGGGAGATAGTTCTGTAACATGTGAGACTATAGTCATTTCAAATAATTTTCGAAGAACAGAAGTGAGTGAAATGGGTCTATAGTTAGCGGGGTCAGTACGATCACCTTTTTTAAAAATTGGAAACACAGTAGCCTGACGCCATAAAGACGGTGTGTTGGACCACTGGTAACAAAGAGTAAAATAAAGTTTGAAAAAAGGAGCGAGGATGTCAATGACAGGCTTGAGCATTTCGGCTTTGATGTGATCTGGGCCTGGAGCTTTGTTGTTCGGTAATTCCTTGATACGCCACGATATAACATCATCATCCAAAAAAAACCGACCTCCGGCCGGTTTTTTAGGCGTTCTTCAGACTGCCGATCGGGACCTGCGGCCCTCTCGTGTGACTGACGTTTTAGCTTATTTGCCGATCGGGACCTGCGGCCCTCTCTAAGACTGAATGAATTAAGTTTTTATTGTTTATCAAAATTATTTTAAAAGTTTTATCCATAAGGGCTCGTGATAGCTTGTAAACGATACATATTTGCCTGAATCAATCACTTGGTTGCTGGTAAAAATATTATCGATAAATGTGTTTTTTTTTGTTGTGGATGTAACTGTATCCATTAAAGGTGATGTCAAATTATATTGACTCAGGAGGTTTACCATGCTTGATTTTTTTGAAGAATAAGATGCAAAATCCACATTAAAATCCCCACCAATAGTAACTGATCCATGAGGGTGGTCCAAAATGAATTGCAAAGCTTCTAATATTATATCGGTCGAAGCATTTGGTGAGCAGTAAACACTGGCAAATAAACTACTATCAATGACCACAAGCGAAACACTGACTGAGCAATTTCTATCTTGAAAGTATTTACTATCAGAAGTATACGTGCGATTGTTTAAAAAGGTGTTATTTATGAAACAACACGATCCAACTGGTTTAGGATTTCCGGTTTGACCATCCTGTCTTGATGCTAAAATAAAATTGTCTAGTTCAAAAACTTCATTGTTAGGCAAAGTCCATGTTTCACAGAGCAGAATGATATCAGAATTTATATACACTTGATCTCTTTGTATTTGGTCGATATGGGCTCGTAAACTTTGGACGTTGTGTGACAAAATTTGTATGATTGATTCGTTTCTTACAGTCAACTTATCAAATAAAGGAACGAATTTGAAAGTATCATGTCTTTCTAATTCATTTCGCAACGAAGAAGCACCATTATCTCTGGCCAAAGAAGAAGGAGGAACAAATTTGTTTTTTTTGCAAATCAACACCAAACCTTTAGCGGAAGTTGCTCTGGAACAAGCAACGTACTTTAACGAACGGCTCATTGTTCTTCTACCACAATCATTAACTACTACACCTGGATACGTACCACCCTGCGATTTATGCACAGTCATGGCTTCGGCAGGAACAATTGGAAATTGGGTCCTGTTTAGCTTGATGTGCGACTTCAAGTTTCGACGAATAATCAAGGTGCTTGGTTCAACACAGGTCCATAAGTTTGGAAGACCCAACGTTAATCTCAGTGTTACTTGTTTATTACGCAGAGCTCTTCCACTTCTCTCATCATCGAACAGAATCCAAACACGGATCGGTTTTCTTACCGTAGTGTTGGCGTTAGATTTCAGTCTACCGTAATCAATTCGTTTCAAAACACCAATGACTCCATTTACTAAGCCATCAGACGTATCGATGTTAACTGTCATCATATACTGTGCATCGACTTTCAGTATGATCTTTTTTGGTAATCCACGAGTTTCACTCAATGATGCTTCTTCTCTTGCTGAATGGAGCATCTGATTGACAGCGGTTTGACTTCTACAGTCACCGAGCACACGATCGTAGGCCGTGGAAACAGCCCCCTCGGTATCCATACTATTTAAAATGATATCATTGGTTGCCTTTACATTTCTGTTTGCATGGAATAGATTGATCGATTTAATTTCGCTGGGGGGAGGCAGAACTATTTTACCCTCGTCTAATAACTTCAATTGTTGTTCATCTAGCACCGCAACAGAACTTTGGAACAAGGCTATATCAACCGGTGTCATTGAACCAGTGGCCAAGTTGTTCAGGGCAACAGCAAACGGAACATCATCACGTTGGCGCATGATTTCGATTAATTTGTGTACTTTGAATAAAGACCAAAGATCAAAATCAAATAACGAAGAAATTGTTAAAGTTGTGTCGGAGGCAAAGACCGAAGAACCACCCACTGGTGGTAGTTGTAAAAAGTCACCAAAAACAATAACACTTATACCTCCAAAAGGGATTGATGGTTCGAACATGTCTCGTAAACGCTTATCAATCCATCCAAAATGCTTTTTGCTGACCATGCTTATTTCGTCAATGATGACAAAGCGAAGATCTTTTAATGCGACTGCCATAGAGTGACCGACATCAGCAGACAATTGATTGATACATTTATCACCATTTTGGGATATGGGAAATTGGAATGCGCTATGTAGCGTCTGTCCTTGTATGTTGAATGCAGCTCTACCAGTTGGTGCAGTAAGAAGAACAGAAGGAGTTGACATATCACGCTCCCTCCCAAAATCAAACTCTCGCAAAAGAGACTGGTAAATGGCACAGATAAGCTTACTTTTACCAGCACCAGCGCCACCAGTCACAAAATTGTAAACTGGAGAATAGGTATTGCTACCATCTCTCAGAACAAACTCGACTTTGTTATATCTAACATGACCAATGAGACTAGTCAGGTATGACCTCTGCTTGAAATTTAGGGTCGCCATCAGATTGAAGTAATCAATATCAGGTAATACG